AATTGTTAGTAATTGTTACTCTGATTTGATCAAAATAGTCTCAAATATCGATGACGGCCAAACACTAACGAATTGCCTTCTCTCAGGGGGGGGGTGAATTTCAAGTTTAATTTGTTTTTTGGTGACATTCCATGGAATATGAATTATGAGTCGGGGGACATTGTTTTAAATGAGGTACGAACAATTTCTTAAACATCTTTGTAAACACAGAAATGAAAGTAGTATGAATTCACCATGAGATCTATTGTCAATTTTACTTTATTTTTATTCAGTTTCAGATATGTATGTTTTTTTTTCGTTTCTTATTTTATTTTGTTGCCGTTCCGAAGGCTTAATAAATATTATTATTATTATTAGGCCGATGACCCTGCCGCTAAAGGTGACATTGCTAATTGTGCGCGCGCACAGGTTTCTATTCTATCTACAGTACGAACAATTCAAGATTACGTAATCGCCACTATCCTTGACTAAAAAAGCAAATTAGGTTCTTGGACTTTGTTGCACAGTCTCAAAACTGCAGTCAAATCAAATAATTAATTAACACATACTCACTCCCCGGGGGGGAATGGCAATGGTTATAGATAAATAGTAGAAGCATATTGTACTAAAAATGAAGGAATAAAAATAAACTAATCTACAAAAAAATAATAATAATACATGTAATAATAATAACTCCTTTTAAAAGAAAGATGCATATAACACATGATCACAACTTCATGAAAGGTAATACATGTATATACCTTCCATCAGAGAGCTGTAATTTGTAACAGTTCCCTGATTCTATGGGCGCGCTAAATGCGAAACAGGTTTGTGAGTTCTTAGACTTTGTGTTTACATACCAGAATACAAGTCAACGGTTGCGAAAATATGTCTGTGGGTTCTTAGGCTTTGTATTTAACGTCGAAAACGTTCCTATATGGTCGACCATGCTAGGCAAAACTAATACTGCATCCATATTTGACGTTTCGCTAAACTCTGCTATAGCAATATCAAGTGGATATTTCTTACTGCACTTTAGGTCAGCTGACTCGAGGAACTCAATAAATTTGTAAATATTATGGCGTGTGTACATTTGAGCCGGCATACAACACCGGGGTGCGCTTTGAGTGTAGTAGAGATTCGGGTCAATCCGTCGTATTAACATTAAATTTGACCGGCCAATAGATTCGGCAACCAATATGACATACAACATAAATATTCCTAAAATGAGGATACGTGTTCCACATTTATCTGTAGTGTTACACTTATCAAATATTGAACCATATATGTAAGCCAGAAGAGGTCCGCCCAGACATGCAAGCGCAAATAATTCTAACAATTGGGGGAAACCCCAAGAATATCCAAGCCATTTTTCTGGGTAGTATAATTTGATAAAAGCTAAATTGTCATTGTTCTGTTTGATGAGATCTCCTCTCTCGTATTTATATTCTATTTTATAGGTCAGTATGTGATTCAGAGTTTGAAAAAAATTCCAATGGACTAACACATCATCTTGAAGTATAAGGGTATACTGCGATCCAAATTCAGCCATTCTGCGCAAACAAAATGAATAATCGAGTTGTTCTCTTTTGTGGGCATCAATGTTGGGCGTATTCGCTTTACCACCAGTCCGTTTGATTGTCGGTATGTATGCAGACAAGTACGCTGCTGCCTCGTTATCTTCGGGTATCACTTCGGCATTACATATAAATATTTTAATACGAGATCGAAGTTCGCCGTTCGCCGTCTCCAAGACCTGAACAAGCCTCGCAGCTGTTTCAATTACGTATTTGGGTTGAAATGACTTATATTTTTTATCTTTTACCTCTCGTTTTACTGTAACTATTCCAACAACTATCCAAGGTGTAGGGGGCGTGTAGGGTTTCTCCTTAGACAGCCCGGTCAGAGGCCCCTTATTATTGTCAGTACTGTTAACGAAATATTCCATCGCAGATTGTGTTTCCAAATACCGTTTTTCTATCAACTGTTTGAAAATAAGAGAATTATCAAGCCGACGTAGTTTGTAATAGAAAGAGAATGTCTGGTCATAATAAAACACCGGCAGTACAACAACAAACGTGACCGCGTAAAGAACACAAGCATGTAGTAGAATTCTTCTATAACGTGTTGATGCTGTGCCCCGTGCTGTGCTTGACACGATGTGCTTTGAAGACGTCGATGATAGACTGTCTCTCACAAACGACGCCATCTAGTCATCCCCTGTTAAATTCACAAACATGCCTTCGTTTTGAACGACTCATAAATGGCGTACATAAGATCCGAGTTGTTGTGATAATCACCTGATTTCCCATTCACCAACTTGAATGAAGCGTCTATTTCAAGGACGCACGGCTAAGAATTGAGTCAATACATTATTCATTAATACCGCCAGTGACTAGTATGTATAGTTCACCAGCGGCTCGTATTTATAGTTGTGTGCGCTCCTTTAGTAGCGCTGTGCATGACGGGTTTGGGGTTAATCTGCACACAGTCAGCTGGCGCACACGTGATAATAAAATAAATACGATATTTACTATATGCGTGCCACGTTTGTTTCAATCCAATAAACAACCGATCGAACCATAACGCGACTATAACGTAATAACGCGATATCCATTATCATTTCATCAAATCTATTTCTATATTCATTATCCATGTTTCTGAAATTATAAAAAAACCAGGATCTTATTTTAATCAGATTGAGTTGGTCTTGGCGAGTACACCAGGACAGACGCAGTCTTGGGACGAGTCTAGACGCAGTCTTGGGCGAGTCTTGGACCAGCCTTGCGATAGTCTTGGGGACTTTTCCCCAGGGCGCTGTGTCTTATAGAGTGCTCGATTGACCGACTAAGACGAGAGTTGAAACGTATTCCGTTGTGTGTGTCTTATTTAACTGTAAAGCTTAAGGATGTAGTAGACTTTCGTGGTGATTTTTTTCTTCATTATTTTTTCTTTTATTAAATGGTGACTTATATCTATAGGCAGCCATACGACCTTTTTTTTTTTTTATTAAATCACGTTTTTATTTCAAGAAAAAACGGCTTTTTAAAAAATAATTTACAATTAACGGAAATCCCGACTTTCAGGGAGAGGAATTTTCCCCTGATACGTCATTCAATATGCCCCCCCCCCCATATAGTAAATATCGTATTTCTTTAACGGCTGCTTTCTATTATTATTAATTAAAATCGTTGCCTTCGTATTCATCTATTACGACCAAACTCCAACAAGAGTGATGGCTGATCTGCAGCGCATCGGAAGTTCTACGTCATTGGTTCAATACTAATTTGTATATTTATTTTTATATAAAAACCACAGGGAGCCCAGGAACTAGATAGATAGAATTTTTTATTTGGAACGTACCAATGAAAACTTGAGTAAAGTCCAAAAATAACAATAACAAAACAAAACATTCAGAACAACACAAACTTTCAGTATTAATACATATCAAGAATATAGAAAATAAATTTTGCAAAAATGCTAAGAATGAAAAAATCATTACTTGAAACAATAATAGGAAATAATTCATCCATGCTAAAATCTTCCAGCTTTGGGGCATAGATGTATAAAGCTGCAAGGAATCTAGATCTTTGTTCTTTGATTTGACAATTATTACAATATAAAATGTAATGTTTCTCATCCCCTACTTCATTGCATTCATGGAGATTACATAGCCTGTTTTCCTTCAAAATGCCTTTATGTCTACCGGATTCAATGGGAAGAAAATGTGCAGAAGTTCTAAATTT